ACTAAACCATGCCATCCAAGGCTCTGCCCAACCTGGCCTTGAACGCTGTCAGGGATGGAGCATTCACAACCTCCCTGGGCAACCCATTCCAGTGCCTCACCACCCTAACAGGAAAGAATTTCCTCCTTATATCCAATCTAAACTTCCCCTGTTTAAGTTTTAACCCATTACCCCTTGTCCTGTCACTACAGTCCCTAATGAAGAGTCCCTCCCCAGCATCCCTGTATGCCCCCTTCAGATACAGGAAGGCTGCTATGAGGTCTTCATGCAGCCTTCTCTTCTCCAGGCTGAACAGCCCCAACTTCCTCAGCCTGTCTTCATACGGGAGGTGCTCCAGCCCATGGTCATCCTCATGGCACTCCTGTGGACTTGTTCCAACAGTTCCATGTCCTTTTTATGTTGAGGACACCAGAACTGCACACAGTACTCCAAGTGAGGTCTCACAAGAGCAGAGTAGATGGGCAAGATCACCTTCGACCTGCTGGTCACACTCCTTTTGATGCAGCCCAGGATACAGTTGGCTTTCTGGGCTGCAAGCGCACACTGAAGCTGGCTCATGTTCAGTTTCCCATTTACCAACACCCCGAAGTCCTTCTCTGCAGGGCTGCTCTGAATCTCTTCTCTGCCCAACCTGTAGCTGTGCCTGGGATTGGTCCAACCCAAGTGTAGGATCTTGTATCAAGAAAATTTTACATATAAAAGAATTTGTAGCCCTAGTATAAAGAAAAGTTACTACAAGACTAGCAGTTCAAGTGAGTTCCCACACCTCGTCCTCTGTTTCCAAAAAAAAAGCAGCAGCCCTAAAATCCAGTCTTTGTTTTGGGCATGTTTCTTGTGCTTCGCTCTTCCACTATGGGAGTACGCTTTTTCTTCTATAAAATTAGGGACTTCAGAGAAAAACTACTCCCCGTTGCTTAAAGTCCTACCAGGCAGCCTGCCAACGACCCACAGCCCGAGGCTGCCACTGCGGACACGCACCGATGTGTTTTATACAACGAGGCTGGAGCGGAGCTTTAAGAAACTCGCCAGCTGAGCAGGGCGACCCCTCCACCGCGGCCACCTCACCCGCCGGGAGATGCCCCAGGCCCTCCCGGAGGCGCAGCCACCCGAAGCCGCAACCCCACCGACCCCGAGCTGCCAACTTCGCCTCGCCTGGCTCCCGCAGCACCCCCGCCCGCCGGCCACACACGGCCCGTCTGGTAAAGCAGGCCGCGGCGGGGACAGGCCGGGGGCGAGCCGCGCAACCATCCATCTCACCCCGGCAACCGCGGAGGCTCTCAGCCTCCGCGCCCCCCCTGCTGTGGTCATTACCGGTCGCTCCGCCGAGGCGATGAGGCCGCGCAGTCCGACCGTTACCTGCTCCGCGCAGCTCGGCCGCCACCGCGGGACTGGCGTTGCCCCGGGCGACGGCGGCAGCGGAACGCGGGGCGGAGGCCGCACCCCTCCGCTCGGCTCCGCCGCACCGGGACCGACGCGGCCGCTCCCGGGTCACGTGCCCGGTTTCCCCCCAACAAGCCCTGCTCACGCGAAGGCGTTCATTGGTCGAAACCGAGATCTCCGAGGCGGTGGGGTCGCGTAACCAGGCCGGTAACCCCTGGTTACCGCAACGGGAGCCGGGGAAGGACAAACTTATCGGAACAGCGGAGCGCGAAGGCACGCAACGCCAGTGCTCGGGCGGAGAGGCGAGAAAGGGCCGGCCCGCCGTTAGCCAATCGAATCGGGCGGCTGCCTCGGTGCCGGCGGACCATCAGCCAATCAGCTATAAGGGGGCGAGGGCAGAGTCCTCCCCTTGGTACCCACGGGTGCGAAGATCCGGGAGCCGCTGCCGCGGAGGATGCCCGCGGACCCCCGGCGTCCCCCTCTGCCGCCGCTCCCCGCCTAGAGCCGGCCCTCGGCGCCGCCCGGATGCGGATAAGGAGCGAACCGCCCGCGCCCCCGCGGCGCTGCCCCCGGCGCCTTGTTGACGCTCCCGCAGGGCAACGCCGCCCGGACACGGCCCAGCCTCCCACCCGCCCCGCTGCCCCTCCCTCCCGCCCCCAGAGCTTCCTCTGCTCGTCGCGTAGAGGAGCCGCCGCGCAGTCCCGGCGCCGTGCCCGGTCCCGGCCGCCCCCCGGTAGCGATGAGCCCGCGGGGCAGGCGGTGCCTCCCGCTGCTGGCGGGCCTGGCGGTGGCTATCGCCCTCGCGGAGGCCGCGACCTGTGAGTGAGGCATGGCGGGGGGGGAAGGCGAGCAGGGCCGGGAGCGACGGGGCCGAGGCGGGGGCTGGCGCCGGTCCCTGTGGCCCTGGGACGGGGTGCCGCAGGCGGTCGTGGGGCGGCCCTCGTTCCCCGGGTAGGTGCCACTAGAGCGCCGTGATCCCGTCGGGTTTGGTTGCTCACTGAAACGCAGCGGTTACTGACTGATAGGGCAGCCGAGCTGTAACTTGGGGCTGGTCTGAAGCTGTTTGTGGCCGAAGTGCAGGTCTGCAGCTAAGGGGAAAGTGTGCCTTCAGATAGAGCTTGAGTCGCCTAGGAGATAAAAACTCAGTAGATCACGGTCTCAGGAGAGTGACATTATTGTGGAGTCTAGGCAAGCAGCCCAGCCTGTTGGTAAGTTCAGACCTACCAGGCTAGGTAAGAACTACTTGCACGTAGATGTTTGAGCTTAGTAATGAAAGAAGAGCTGCAGCTCAAAGTAAGGCTGCTTCTGACATGGTTTACTAATGATTAAACAGGCAGAAGCAAAACCTCATGTTTACTGTTCAGATGTGTGTTTGAATGCTAGGGATTGTGAGTGTGAAGGGAGCAGCATGGGAAGATGAAAGTTCATTTTCTAATTCGTTTTTGAGCAAGTCCTAAAAATAAATCATCTGATAAATGTTTCGTAATGTTTTCTCCTGTTTTATCACATTTTCTGTGCCGTTTATCTTGCTTACAGCATACCTTGTCAGTTTAATATGAACAGAGAGAAATTAGAAGTTGTCCTACTCACACAGAATTTCTATGGCCCATGTAGTCCAGTTTCCAATCATTGTCTCTGAACATTGCCAGGGATTTCTGTACCACGGGGAAAAAAGCCCAAAGAAACAAACAAAAACCATAAAGATCTTATTAATGCAGCATTTACCATTCAATCATAAGGGAAAGTTGCTTCTCTGATAGTTCAGCTGCGTTTGGTCCAGCATCCAGCGAAGGACATCTTTTGGATGAGTTGGAGAGGGAACAAGCACACATCAGCAGTTGGTTTGCTTTGTTTTGTTGGCTGCATAAAGCTTATGTCACTGATGAGCATTTGGGGAGACTGTAGTTGCTGGAGTTATGGAGCTGATTGCAGTATAGCAGCTGTATAAACAAGACGATGCCACTTTCTACAGTGGTAGGGCATGTACTCCCTATTCAGTTTATAAGGAGCTTCTGGGAGAGAGCACTAGTAGGCTAGGACTGCTTTCCGTAACTGGGATACGAGGTAAGCACTCTTAAGTTATGTTTAAATAGCCCAGTTATGGTAGGTTTGTAGTTGCTTCTGCACTACAAAACAGCTGTAAGGAACCATGGAATCTCACCCTTTCCCCCAGTTTTCTTTCTTTTTTAGTAGCATAACTTCTAAACAGGTACTTGATAAGTAATCACTATACAGCGTCTCTACTACAGCTATTGAAATCGTAAGGTTATTGAAGTCCATAACACTTGAGTGAGTACCAAATGAAGCACACAGCTCATTAAGGGTTAACTATTGGTTTGGCAGGGTCAGGAGTGGGCTGGAGTTTCCGGTAATCAAACTGGCAGCAACAGCAGTCAGGATTACTTTTTAAAACAAAGGTCTTATCATAATCTTCGTAAGGAAAGAACAGTTAAATAAATACACTGCTAATTCTGTACATAAGAACTGAAATATTTGTAGCAAAAATATGGAATTCATATAGAGTTATATATTTTATTCAAACTCAGATGTCATAGGAAGTGAGTTTAAGAGAAGGCTGAACTGCTGGGATGGAAGGAGAAAGACCCGTTTCCATTACCACACTGCACTGAAGACATGAAGTCAGCAGTGTTACATCTAGTGTAATGTCCTCAGTGTTATATCCAGTGTAATGTCCTCAGGAACACTGCATGTACTTAGAATTTTCTTGTGATTTACTCCCTACAAAACTCTTGTCACTAAAGGTCAAAACAAGATTGTTTACAGTCAGTTGTGGATTAGGCCTCATCTACCCCACAGAGCCTCTGCCCTAAAGCTATGTCAGCTTGCTCACACTGGTAGAAATTTGCAGCGTAAACAAAATCAGCAGTTGCAATGCACGATTGTATCATTTTGTTGTCACTCCTTTTGCCTCGGAACAGATAGATCCTTGTTATTAGTCTGCTTTTATGTAATGACAAATGCAGCCACTTACCCAAGTTAATTAAAATGATATTTCTAGCAATAATTGGTGATAAATTCATTATCAGAATCTTCTTCTGAGTATGCTTTCCAGTGTGGATGGGGCTCAGAAGATCTTTCATGAGGTCTTTCGTGTCCCATCATCTTGCCATGCTTTTTGCCAGTCTCCAATACCAGCAGAGATGGAGACATGTTCATCCCAGTCACTCAGCGCTTGTCAGGCCACACCTGGAGTACTGTGTCCATTTCTGGTCTCTGCAATTCAAGAAAGACAAAGACAGACTGGAGAGAGTGAAAAGGAGAGCCACCAAGATGATCCAAGGGCTGGAGAACCTGCCCTGTGAGGAGGGACTGAAGGGGTTGGTCCTGTTCTCCCTGGAGAAGACAAGACTGAGGGGACCTCATCGCCATATTCCAGTATTAAAGGTCTGCTTCAAAGAGGGCAGAGGCTCTGTCTTTGCAAGGAGCCACATGAAAAGGCAAGGGGCAATGTGCACAAGATGTACTGGGAGAGGTTTCATCTTGGTATAAGAAAGTATTTTCTTACAATGAGACAAATCACTCACTGGAATAACTTCCCCAGGGACATAGTAGAATCCTCGTCACTGGAGGTTGTTAAGATGTGACTTGGTGTCAGATAATCTCATCTAGGCTCCATTTCCCATGAAAGGCTGAATCATGATCTTTCGAAGTTCCTTCCAGCCTGGGCTGTTCTATGATATGTTAGTGATGGGCTGATGGATTGAGAAAAAAGGGCTAGGAGATCCACAGTTTCAGCAGTTTCCAATTCGTTGCTCCTCCTAACTGCTGTATGAAGGATACTTAACAACCCAAGAATCCAAATCCAGCGCCTGAAAGACATTAACAGCACTTGAGATGTACTTAGGGGTGTATGTTAAGGTTTGTGGAAGTGGCAAAGAGTAGAAGAGGAAAGCAGGCTTGAATCATTTCTTTTGTGCCAATAACTTCTGGAAGTGGGAGCCCAGAAAGTAAGACAAGACTTTTCTTTCTCTGAGCAGTTCCCTTGAGGATCAGTTGTAACCTTAAAGAATTGTTCACATTCTCCAGTAAGATCACCATGTAGATCAACATATATATATATAAGAAAAAATGAATCTTCAACTACCTAACTGCTTCCTGCTCATATACTTACTGTGTATTACTGGGGAAGGGCACAAGCTGACTTCTTGCGTTTCTAAGCAAGTTGCTGGTTGCTTGTTGAGACATAGGTGTGCTTCAAAAGTTTGGAGGTATGCTGTAGTGCATCCACCTTATACTCAGGACATCTTACCTGTTGCCTTACCAGGAAGATTATTCTTCCCGGAGCGAAAGCAGATAGATCAGTGTGGAGTCACAAGCTTATCCCACATTAAATACATTTAGGATGCTGTAGCAGAAAGGTTTCTTCAGGTCATTATCCAATGTTACACACCAGAGTGCTTCAGTTGTGTTCCCTGTCACTTGATAGAGACCTTTGAGAAATGTGTTTAGGATGGTATGATTTTCATTGCATCTGTCACCTGAAAGCTATCTTGCTGCAGGTTCTGGTTCTCATTAGCTGTTCTTTCTAATAAGCCTTTGAAGTTCTTTCTTTCCTGTTAGTGTACAGACAGTGGGAAGCTGTTCTCTGACACTTGGCTGGTGGCACATCTCATAAAAGTGCTGTGGGTTTGAGGTATTACATGCTTATAAACAGTACTGAATTGACTATGTCTGCTTGAGTTGATCTTTGTATCTTAGTGATGAGTATGTATGCATACCATACCTGGCTTGAACTGCAGATGTCCTGACCCTCACACAGTGTGCTAGTCTGAGAGGTTTAGTTGTGCAAAGGCTGATGAAGAGCAGGAATAGAAATGTAGTGCTCTCTAGTTAACATATGCCAGCCATGCTCTTTAACCCTGTCAGCTGGTCTTCTTCCAATTGTGCTCATCCATTTTTCTCCTAATCACAAGGTATGCCCAAAAATTAAGCTAACAGGCAGTCTGATTTAGTTGTTTTCCCTGTAGAGCTGTGTGCTCTACAAAGAACATTGAAGCAGACAAATTTCATTTGTAGTATAATTTCTCAACTCACTTGTTTTACCATTTGTGTAAAAGTCAATAAAATAACAATAATAAGATACAGTAAAAGTAAGTAATGACTTGTGATGGGTCTGAAATATAAAAGTTAGCTAAGATTGTATTTTATCTTGGTAAAATGTGAAGGTATTTGTAGGTTGTCTTGGTATTTCTCAAGATATCTTCTCACCTGTTTTGCAATTATAAGGGACATTTTTGGTCTCACTTAAGTTAAATAGGATCAGAGCATTTATTCCTAGATCAACGAAACAGGTAATATAAAAGGCTTCACATCTTTTTTTCCCCTTGTTGGTCACATATCTCACTTTGTAATACCCATAGCTTAAAAAAAAACCCTACTAAAAAAATCTTGTCCTGAATATGGTATTTCAATTACACTTTAGGCACAGCATTTTACAAACCTTTCTTTTGGTTAGAACCAGCTACCCCACATAAAGAAAACAGAATCCTAGGTTTTCTTGCCCACATTTTCCAAAATGATAGAGAACAGCTAGAATATCTATAATATATATTATATAATATATAGAGAGAGAATATATAGAATCCTGATTAAGGATTTAATTCAGATTTTTGTGCTAGATTCTCATATTTGTTCAGTGCTCACCGATTTTCAGCTGTTTAACTAACAAACAAACAGTAACAGAGCTCTTTTTGTTTCTGCTAAGTTTTATCACAGCAGTATGCCTCTCAGTTCCTGGTGAGGAAACGTCGAGCAAATTCTTTTATGGAAGAAAGTAAGAAAGGAAATCTAGAAAGAGAGTGCATTGAAGAATTATGCAATAAGGAAGAAGCCAGGGAAATCTTTGAAAACAATCCTGAAACTGTAAGTACCTGAATACCCACAACGTAGATAGTCATTCCTTGCAGAGGAAAGATGGAAGCACATAGAATTCACACTGCAAAGCTAAAAGGATTGCACCACTCAGACCAAGAACTAGTTTGAAATTCCATTGTGTATGGAACCAGCAGAATTAGTAATAAAGGCCATAAAGCAAAGAGAATGGCTAACCAGGTATTTAATTTCCAGTACAGATGACCAGTTTTAGACCACAGTTGTCTGCAAGCATGCCATCTAGGGAAACTCTGTTGCCTTCAATTAAAAGTTTACACTAAGGATGCATGGCAGTGCAGCCCTTTTCATGAAGGGATTGAACATATTACTGCAAGCTTTCTTCCTAGTGGGGAGAAGTCCGTTCCTCAGTTCATTCTCACTTCATATTCTTTGGTATTTATGATTTCATTCAATATAATATTCGTATTTATTGAATAGATAGTAATATTCATATATGTTAAAATATATCAATATTTCATTCAACTTCGTACTGCAAAAGGTTTATTACACAATATATGTGGTTAAAATGAATTCTTGTTTTGCAAACCATGTCAGTTCTGTATTCTTTCATACCATTGCATGCATTTAGATATATTGATTGTTAAGTTTAAATAGTTTCAGTAATCAATTATCAGTTGCTTCTAACAATTTCTGGTTTAGTAACACTTTTCACTTCATTTGGAATGAATTGCATGTAAGATGTTCAATCTATTCCAGGGGTTTTTATTCTTGGGTGAAAAGGGAATTAAAGGATGCTGCTATGCGTCCAATAACAACATCGGTCAAGATCTTCCCATTTAAAGAGATAACTTTCAGAGTCATTTTGACACCCAATTAATTTTCATTACTTTCACTTTAGAAGTGTCCAACTCAGTGCAGTATCTTAATCTCTCTACAGAGTCTTGCATTTATTGAATAATCCACTGTCTTAGCCTAAACAATGGTGATATAGAAAACTTGGCCTATGACTCAAAATGACTTTGTCTTTTTTACTTCTTTTGCAGTAATAATACCAATACATTTTAGTATTCATTCAGTGATATATTTTGCTGTAATTTTATCTGCCTTCAATTTTTCTTACTCTTTATTTTTCTTTTTGCAGGAATATTTTTATCCCAAATATTTAAGTAAGTACGAGAGCCCTGAGCAAGTATAATCATTCACTGGTCTTCGTATTTGGATAATGCTACTTTAGTTATTCTGGTCATAGTGCTTGAATGATTTCCTTGCTGATTATAATGCATAGTAGCTCCTAGGCAGTTCTGTGTGCTTAGGTCCTAGCAGAGTCACTCAGAAGTCTGTGGTCAGCTGTCTAATATGCCCAGACAAGTTTTTCTAATTCAAGCTGTGAGAACAGACTCTTTGAAGATGCCATGCATAAGCTGTTGTAACTTCAGTCTACATGAGTGTTTGTATCATAAGCAGATTGTGTGGGTTTGCATTTGCAGGTTGCCTTGCCTCCCATCGAGCAGGGATTTTCAGGGTTATTGCAGTTACTCCAGATTCTCCAGCTGACCTGAGGGCTTGTGTCGTTGGTAAGTGCTGCTTACCTAATACTTTACCTAATGCAGTCACATCTAAGAACACACATGCACACGGCTTGAAAGCAGTTCACATAGGCAGAAAAAAGAAACAAATCTCCATTTAACTCATGCAAGCTCCGTAACATAAACCATAAACTGACAAAAAAATAAATGGGTGAGATGGAGCATTTTCAGAGCAAGCAGTGCAAATTACTGGTTTTAATTTTATAAGGAATATTGGAAAAGAAACATGAGTAACTGCAAAAATAGAAGGTAGAATTCTTCTGGAATCATAGATTTGATATGTGCCAACCCACCAGTGTTCCCTACTACGTCCTCTCTACCACATCTTTAATAGTTATGCCTGACTCTTTGTATCTGGCAAGTCCTGTTCTGTCAGTTAAGGGAAGAGGCCATGTGGTTGATTTTATTTTCTAGCTCTCCTTGACCCATAGTATCCCTGCCTGTATCCCTGCATGGAGCAGGTAACATTGCCAGCTGAAAAATTAAAATACTAGGAAACTCGTAATGTTGCTCAAACAGTTGATTTTTTACACCTATGCAGTTATGAGTCTGGTGGGGATTGTGGGGATTTTTCCCTCTTAAATTCACAGGAAGTAATCTGTACCTTACTTATTCCCTATTTGTCACAGTTGAAACATCTCTCTAAACTTCTTAAACCTTTACAGCCTAGTTACACCAAAGTAGCTTATGGTTAGTTTGAATAGGGATACTTAATCATCTGACAGTGTTTTTATCATTGAAAACAATGACGGGAAAAAAATTCCTTAATAATGGCACTGCTCATGGTCATGGATGAAAGTATTTTCCATATCACTTGACCAACACTACTGCTGTCAGAAACTAAAACGCACTTGCATTCGTATCACTCTTTCTCACTCTCATTAGAGGTCCTGGGAGGAAAGGATTTAGCAGGGTTGTGTCAATGTGCAGTGTTTCTGTAAACAGCTAGCTTACTGGATAGTCACTGTATATCTCCATTTGGGTTTACATGATACAAATCAAGTTAAGTAAACTGTTACAATTAGTCAGTCACCAGGATAAAGAAGAAGTGTGTATGCATAACATTTACAAGTGTTTCTAAGGCTTAAACGTTCAATGAAGCTTACGCACGTTCATAGAAGGAAGCTACTGCTGAGAATGTGGAATTGAAAATTCCCATTAAAACTATATGACATTGTTTCAAATGCGTTTTCATTAAGACAAAGGCTTTGTCATACTGCTATCAACTTCTCTAAAACAAGTTTTGTCTTTCTGAACTTGCTGATCCAAATTGGTTTGATACTGTCAAAATCAAAAATTCGATTTTCCTAACGGGAAGGAAATCATCATAAGAATTAGCAGAATTAAAATCTCAAGCTGAAACAAATCAGAGAATAAAAATAACAATGCAAACAGAATTGACAGAAATGCAGTTGTTTTCATATTTGTCCATATTACCTGCACAAATAAACACACATTTTAAAGGCATACATTTTTGGATAAACAAGTACAAAAACCTGTGAATATATTCACCTTTTAAATACCATCTAGGAAGGAAAAGGAAAATTTTCACAGGAATAGGAGATCCTTTTTCATACTTTTCTAATCCAAGCATGTATCTTAAGTTGCATTTTTAAGACCCTAAACAACTATACCCTGCAAATCTGCATACTTGATTGCCTTTAAAAATAAATACTTAAAAATCTCTGCATTTACATCTACTTGTCTCACTATGACACATCTTTTGGATACTGAATCCTCCTGAGTGGCAGAGGAGCCACAATACATCTCTTGCCCCTCACCCCTTCTGTTGCAGGCTGAGTATATCTTCTGACATTTAGTTGTCACGTTGCTGTCTAGGAGGTCAGAAGGTAACCCGAAAGGGGAAAAGAGGAGCACCAAGGCATGCTTTCAGAACAAATGGATGCTACATTACTGTTCTTGCGGT